ATGGGGGGGGGGTCCTGCCGAGTAAGACCAGGTGTTTGTTCAGTTTCTGGGTTCCTGTCTGTTCCCTCGAAGGTTTTATCTGATTTGCTTTTGGTCCATGAGCCTCGCAGAGGTCAAAGGTCGCTGCTCTCTGTTTGTTCCTAAAGTCGAGGCTAAAGCATCTTGTAGTTCTTTTGGTTTTAGTTTCCGGATCATCCTTCCTGAGGACCCCAGGGCAGGTGGGGGCATTTAGTAAAGGACAGCCCTTTTATAAAGTTTTTAGTGGAGTGTCTGATATTAGGATCCATGATTAATGTTTCACTCACATTTATTTCCTTTTTAGTTTCTTATGTTCAATCGACTTGGATCCTTTTCTGATTGTTTTGTTCATTTGTTTTTTATTAGCAATTGATTTTAATAATTAAAATGATCATATTTCAATGTTTAACTCGTGTTTTATTCTGTTCCTGTGATGTATTTATCTAATAATATTCTTATATTGTATCCGGTTTACTTGCTTACGTTTAGAGGACGTTTTGTGTATATTTTTGCGTGACTCGTGGGCTTTTCTTATTTTTATCGCTGCAAATTTTTGCTTCTTTGCTGTTTTTTGTAACATGAAGCACTGTGTGTAAGAAAAAGGTTGATCGATCTGAAAATGCCGCACGGTTTTCTGAAGCTACTTCCCGGCTTTATTCAACTATCTGCATGGTTAAAAATTCCATCTGTGTTGGTTTAAAACGATTTTTCATTCATTTATTAGGTTACGTATCTTGATGCTTGTAGAAAAACTAAAACAACTGAGTTCAGATTCACTAAAAGAGGATTTTTAAATAAACTTTAAAGGGAAATTTTTTTTTCTCTTATTTACTTTGCTGAAATAATTTAAGATTTAAAATTGAATATGAGGTATAATGAGGTAATTACATACGCTTAAAAGTCACATTTTTTCATTTTTTCCCCATAACAAACAATAAATATTCTGAATTGTCACTTTACATGTGTTGTAAAGACAACGAGGCACCAGAAGGACTTGGCTCAAAGTTGATTTTGTTACAAGGTCCCACCCACAATAACTGATCCCCCTCAGAGCCCCCGGGTCAGATTTATGCTCACAACCAGGCTGATTTTGTTAGTTATGGCAGCCATTGTGGTTCCTTCCTTTCTACTTCCTTTATGCTCAGCTGCATTTCCTGTTTGGCCTTACACACTCACTGAATGCGTGTTGACTCAGCATAAAAACCGAACGGTTAGCTTAAATGCACGCCATCCAAGAATCTGGTCTTCGTGTGTGTCATCACTGTTTTTTACAAACGTTTTCTCTTAGTTCTGGATCACCCAGCTGGGCCGACGCTCACGCTAGCTCTGCTCATCGTCACTGTCTCGCGATCTGCTTTGAAAATGAATCATTTCAAGCCAAAACTCCCACAATCTTAACCGACCTAAAACTGGAAGCCTGCACAGCTCGTGGGCACCAAAACCGGACCGGACAGTTATCCTACATGGATCATCTGTCCACTCATATAGCCTCTGACTCGGAAAAAATCCTCCACCAGCTACTCGAACAAGCTCAGAAAAGACTATTTATCCTTCATTTTCTCACCCGGCATGAGTAGATTTTTGATCTTTAGAATCAAGCAGGTTGACGTTTTGGCACAGACGTGATTCAAAATGCTGACAGGCGACCCCACACCTTCGCCTCCCACAGATCGTCCCCCTGACCGTGCACGTGAACACCACGGGATCGAACGATGGCACGGCCCGGACCTCGTGTTTCAGAAACAGGAAGTCATCCAAAACCAAGATCAGCTCGGCCCCCGTGTGCGGCCGGCTAGCGACAGACAAAGCGAAAGAGGCCCAACTGAGCCACCGTCCACGCACCCGGTCCCGTCTTCTGCCTGTAGACCGACGCGAGGACGGGGTCCAACTCGATGTACGGGTCCCTTTTCAATTCAATTCAATTCTATATCTATAGCGCCACATCACAACAACAGTTGTCTCACAGCGCTTTCCAAACAGATCAGGTCAGACCCTACTCTGAAGATAATTACAGAAACCCAACAATTCCCACCATGAGCAAGCACTAGGCGACACAGGCAAGGAAAAACTTCCTTTTAACAGGCAGAAACCACGAGCCGGTTGGGGGAGAGGGAAAGAGAGGGCAAGAGAGGGAGAGAGAGGGCCGTTTGAGGAAGTTAGCTCCTCAAACGGGGTCTCTAAAGACAATGTAGCAACTGGAAAGAGGCTGCGGTTAGCTGGTGTGGTGGTTAGCACCATCACCTCCCAGAAAGAGGGTTCTGGGTTGGAGTCCCCGGGGGAACCAGGACCAGAGGGTTCTGGGTTGGAGTCCCCGGGGGAACCAGGACCAGAGGGTTCTGGGTTG